CCTCCACAGGAAGCTTCGCCATTTTGTGTGGACACAAAAGAAACTAGGGGGTGAGAATTGTAAGAGTCACATTCTCATGCAGGTCTGTGTTTCTCTGTGGTGGGCGCCGGGTCACACAAGAAGACTTCTATCTCTTGCAGCTGCACATTCACAAACTAGTAGTTATGTGGTCGTCTTTATAAAAGGTGTTCAGTGAAGCTACGGAGGCGCTGGATTTATATCAAAATAAATCACAGAATGTGCTCTCCCCGTGGGGGTGTGTCTGAACGAGGGGAAGTAAGGCAGAGTCGTGTGGGGGAGGGGAAAGACGGGGGCAGGACAGGAGCTCTCCCAACAAGCCTTCAGTGAGGAAGAACTGAGCTTGGTTGAATGCACCCTCATGAAAGAGACAGCCTTGAGTTTGTCTCATATTACAGCATTAACTTAAAGGCTTCACCTGGATTATCGTCACCTGTGCTGTTGATGTTCTTCCTGCTGAGAGGAAACCCGTCCCACTCGTTTGTACTAAAACTAAAACATCTCCTCTCTCTCTCTCTCTCCTCCAGGTTCTCCCTTTTTAAAAATCGCAGCGAGAACTAGGAGTGGAGCTTCAGACATGTCTCGCCGTCCTCCCCCCCCCCCCCACGTCTGGTCTATAGTGGACCAGAAACGACCCTCGTTCTCACTCAGCCATTCGACCCACAACCCTCCCCACCCTGCAAGTCCCACCATGGCCAGCAAGAGGAAGTCCACGACTCCTTGCATGATCCCCAGCAAGATCATACGGCCGGTAGAGGTTGAGGTGGAACGGGACTCTCCGGGTCTTCTCCGTCAATCCAGGATCTCTGCAGCGGGCAGGCAAAGCCCGCCGGACTCGGGGGAGTCCTCCAAACCGGAGGCGGGGGACGCCGTCAAAGATGGCGCCGGCACTTACACCTGTAAGCCTTGTGACTTTGAAACCCACGACCTTAACTTGTTCTTGGACCACGTGTACTCGGGGCACCCGGACTTCCGCGCGGACCCCGGCTTCTTGTGCGTGAGCTGCGGGGTTTCCGCGCTCAAGTTCGAGGGGCTGGCGCTGCACAACGCCCGGGTTCACCCCAGCACGCTGAACACGTCCCTGCAGCTGAGGAAGAGGGACAGGAGGGCGGTGGTGGAGCAGACTCTGCTGTCGGGGGCGGAGACGGGGAAGGACAGCGAGATCTCCATCACCAAAACCCCCATCATGAGGATGCTGAAGGGCAAATCGGAGTCGAAGCGGATAGTGGTGTCTCACCCGGCCTCAGAGGAGCCGGCAGCGGACCAACACTCCGTCTCTGCTTCCAGAGAGACGGAGAGGAAAGAGGCGGCAGTGACGGTCACCCGCGTCCCCACGATCGTCCACAACGGAACGACTAAAGTCACTCTGCCCTCGGCGATCCAGATCGTCAACGGCTCCGGAGCGTTACCGATGCTCAAGACTCCCATCACGCAGGTAGGTGGAGGTTCATCCGGTCTCGCAGTGTGACTGTTTCTACTTGACTAAAGCTTTGTTTATGCCCTCGCTTGGCACCGTAGCGAGCTGTTCGTTGCATTATTCTCCAAAACACCAGAGGGCGGACAAACAAAATGAACTGTGAAGCATCAAGAAGACAACGAGCGTAACCGGCAAAACGCCATGTCTCATATTCATGGGCTACTTTGTTGCCTTTATAGTCCTGTAAAGAAACAAAGGTTGAATATCCTGTAAACTACTTAGTAAAATGTAGATTTTTAAGACGTCCTGTTTCTAAAGCATTTAAAAAGGAATTGTCCTTCTTTGTGTAATCCTAGACATGTAAATAGTGCTTTTATCAGTGAACTATTTGTGAGTCACGTCACACAAAGAATTCAGAGGTGCACGACCAAGTGCCCTCGACCTCTTGAGGAAGCCATGATTACGTCGTATTCTGTCGCATGCGTCTAGAGCCGGCTTCACTACGGCGATTATAAACTACGTTTAAGTCCACGATCACACCAAACGACGCCGCAACAGCTGAGGTTGAGCGGAGACGAACAGAGAGATAATGTGAATAACGAGGACAAAATGAATTCAAGCAGACGTCCAGCTGATGCTGTTGGATGAGGAGGAGAGGGGAAAAAAAGTATATAGTTCATGGTAATTAAAAAATTCTGCCATCGTCTGCCGGCACCAAAACAGGAAGGAAGTGGTGCCGATTCAATTAAATTGGCTGCATTGAGCTGAATATTTACACTTTTATGCTCGTCTCAAAAACAAATATGCGACCCACAAGAGAGGAGGAAAACATTGGTCTTGCGTGTGATCGGCGCTTTATTAGTTATTTTATTCTGACTCCTTTCAATCTGTTCCCTCCAGGTGGTCTCGGTGGTTCAGAACAGGAGCCTTCATCAATCCACACCGATCACAGTCTCCTCAAATATCTCCTCAGCTTCGTATTCCACCTCCAAAAATCTCCCCAAGGTAACTGATCTGAATTATTCTTTGTGTTTCAGTGTTTTTGAACTTTTATTTAAAGATGAATTGAAGTAATAATCCCTTTCTCCTCCCAGGTGATGATCCCTCTAAGCAGCATCCCTACCTACAGTGCCTCCATGGACTCCTCCTCCTTCTTGAAGACCTCCTTCAGTAAGTTCCCGTACCCGACGAAGGCGGAGCTCTGCTACCTGACCGTGGTCACCAAGTTCCCCGAGGAGCAGATCAAGATCTGGTTCACGGCCCAGAGGCTCAAGCAGGGCATCAGCTGGTCTCCCGAGGAGATCGAGGAGGCCAGGAGGAAGATGTTCAACACCATCATCCAGACCGGACCCTCCAGCTCGCAGAGCCAGACCCGGAGTCACCACGGCCCGGCCCAGCACACCATCACGGTCCTGCCGGCGTCGCTGGGGGCCGCCGGGATCCCTCACATCCTACAGGGCTCCCTGGTCAGCCAGGGAGGGGTGATCGTCACACAGCCGATGTTGGCGAACGGGTTCCAGGTCAGCAGCGCCCCCGTGGCCCTGGCCGTCACGCCGAAGCCCCAGGCGGCCGCCCGCCCCACGATGCAGACGCGGCCAGCTGCGGCGCTGGTGGCCGACAAGGGCGTCAGCATGGTGGTCGGGACGCTGGGCAGCGGCAGCAGCACCGGGAATCGCGTCATCGGCAGCAGCAGTAACGGCAGTCGGAGCGGGAGAATGAGCTCCATCATTACCAGCAGCCACGCCAGCGTCATCAACCTCAGTCTAGGGAGCGCTAATCCGTCTAATGCTAAGGTTAGCAACGGTAAACACAGCGGCGGTAACGCAGACGGCAACAACGGGAGCAACAGCAACGTCAGCAGCCACGTAAACGCAAAGAGCGCCGACGTCAGGAGAAGTGGCGGCACCGGTGGCATCGTGAAGAGAGACGACAAAGAGAGTAAAAACACCGCAGACGGCAAATGTAAGACGGGCAGCGACGTGCAGAAGAGGAAAGATAACGGCCACAAGAAGAGCACGGAGGACGTCGAGCCCGACACCGGCGACTCCCCCGCTGTCAAGATAGAGGAGGCGTCCTCCCTGGCCTCCAAGTCTTCTCCCCCGTCTCCCGCGGCGCCTCCGAGCGGCACGTCCGGCTCTCAGACGCCCGTCAACGCGTTCCTGGACCCGAGCTTCTACAAGGGCAAGAAGTCTCAGGAGCAGCTCAACGCGCTGAAGGACAGCTTCCTGGTGAGCCAGTTCCCCGACCAGGAGGAGGTGGACCGCCTCATCGCGCTGACGGGGCTCACGGTGCGGGAGGTCCGCAAGTGGTTCAGCGACCGGCGCTACCACTTCCGCAACCTCAAAGGCGTGCGCTCCAGCGGGCCGGGTAAGTCCGGAGGCGGGTCGAGCGGCACGGGGGGCTGCAACCCCGTCGATCTGTCCGAGGGCAGCGGCAACTCGGGGCCGAAAACGCCACAGCACGGCCCGGCACCGCTGAGCCCGCCGGCGTCACAGACTCCCACCTCTCCCACCACGCCGTCCCGACGACTCCCCAGACCTCCCTCTCCGGATTTTACAGCTATCCGCTACAAGGAGAGAGAACCGCATCAGGTGTGTAAGGAGCTGTTTGTCATGTGATCACAACATGGATTGATCAACTAAAGGAAAATTCAGAGGTTATTTAGGGGAAGGCATGCATTGTGTGAAAGAAGTTTAATGAAGTTTTTTTTAAGTTACAGAGGATTAATTTCTTTATTAGTCCACTCAGTTCTTCAGGTTGGTGTTTTTGACCTCGTCCCTTCCTGTCTCTCCTCCAGGTCAAGGCACTAGAGGCCAGTTTTGTCCAGGACCCAGACCCGGCAGGAGAGGAAGTGGACCGACTGCGCTCCGAGACCAAGATGACCAGAAGGGAGATTCACGGCTGGTTCTCCGACAGGAGGAAGAGAGCGGCCGCTGAGAAGAAGAAAGAGGTGGCGCAGCGAGCCATGAGGGCGGAGGTGGAGGAGACGGAGGTGGACGGGGAGGAGAGGCAGAAGGAGGACGGTTCGGGGGAACTGAAAGTGAACCCCATCAAGATCAACCTGAAGATGCTCAAGGTGACGGAGGCCAACGGGAAGGCGGAGGGCGAGGCGTTGGACGGCACGCCGGTGTCCTCCCCGTCCTCCACCCCCAAACCGTCCCTCTCCTCCACCCCGACGCCCAAACCGTCCCAATCCCCGAGACCCGCGACCGTCCGGGGGAAGAAGACGGCGGAGCAGCTGCAGACGCTCAAACAGGTCTACGCCCGCACGCAGTGGCCCAGCGCCACCCAGTACGACGAGATGCTCTCGGCCACCGGACTGGCCCGGCCCGAGGTGGTGCGCTGGTTCGGGGACTGCCGCTACGTGCAGAAGAACGGCCAGCTGAAGTGGCTGGAGGAGCACCAGACCACGGCCCTGGAGGAGGACCTCCAGACGGGGAACACGGAGGTCCTCCAGGCCCACTACGACGCCCACGGCAGCGTGGAGGAGTCACAGGTATCCACAGAGACGAGTACCGTTTATTCTCTTTAGACAACTGAACCCCGAGGAGCAGATAAAGCTTTACTGATGTGATAAAAGATATTTTATCTGATGATAGTTTCACTTATCGTGGATTCTAGATTTATTTTCTCTAATTCAAAGCAAATAGTTTACCAGTTTTGGTTGCTTTTAGTTTTACACCTTTTTAACTATAGAGCAAAGATTTGCACTTTAACATTCTCTGTTTTTGTAACGCTGTGTTTTTAGTCAAACCTCTGCAGATCACACAAACACAAACACAGATCTGTTCTTTGTGCTCAGCTGCAGGATTTGGCTCAGAGCTGCGGTTTAGCGGCGGACTTGGTGCGACATTGGTTCTCCACCAAAGCGTCGCTGCCGAGGCTCGAACACACTGCTGCTGCTCACCAGACCGAACCGACACCAGACGCACCGGACGCAGGGACGGAGCCACGGAGCGCAGGAGGAGGGATGGGGGAGAAGATGGTGGAGAAGGAGAAGATGGTGGAGAAGGAGAAGATGGTGGAGAAGGAGAAGATGGTGGGGAAGATGGTGGAGAAGGAGAAGATGGAGGAGAAGGAGGAGAAGGAGCAGATGGTGGAGAAGGAGAAGGTGTGCGGCGTCGCAACAAAAGCTGAGGAGGCCAACAACACTGACAAGACTGTGAATCCCACTGAAGGTAATCTTCTTTTCTTTAATGTGATGCAAAGTAATAACTCAAAGAGAGTGACTTAGCAGTTTATAACACGTTGTTTATAACTATTATTTGCATTATTGATTAATTTGCTGATTTATCTTCTCATTTAATCTGTTTAAAGAAATTGCATTCACAAACGGTGATGCTCTATCAGGTTGATTTAGAGGATCAGAACAGTTGGTTCAGTTACTCAACTTATCCTTAATATGATCAAATAAAATGTTACTATTTCAGACCGAGTCATTCTGAATGAATTCTGTTGACTGGAGATGAATCATAATCGTCTCTCTGGTGGAAACATGAAAACAACCATAATTATGAGTTCTGTATCTCCCACCGGTAAAGATTTGTTCTCAAGGTGATGCTTTTATTTATTTATTCGTTTTAATTACTACAGGAAGCGACTGAAGGACTTTTTTTTGTCCGAGGAAGGAGACAGTTTGAGGAAAAGACGGCCGATGTGGTTATAACCGGATCACTGGATGGAAACGGACCTCAAAACCATCCTCACCCACACCTCTCTCACCCAGAGAGGGAGGCATGACCTCCCCCACTTTGTGAGATGGACACTAAAGCCACTAACCTCCCTCCCTCCCTCCCCTATACACCCACTCCCTCCCTCCCCCGTTGTGTCCACCCCTTCGCTGCACAGACCTTCTCCAGCGTCCTCCCGTCCGCCATTTTCCCCTCAGAAGGAAGTTCCAGTGGAGGAGGAGGTGGAGGGAGGGAGGGGTGACACCATTTCTGTTCCGCCTGCCCGCTGTGCCGGGAGAAAGGAAAGAGGGGGCAGATCCGGAGGAAAAAGGGAGATTTTTTTGGACTTTTACCGACCAAATGAACCCTCCGAAGAGGATCGACGGAGCGTCGACACAGTCTGTTTTTTGGGGGACGGAAAAACTGCACAGCACTTTTCTCTCCGGGGTGCTTTGCCTTAAAAGGCCTTAAAGTAAATAAAACGACCGTGTGCCATCTTCGTACTCTCCCTTTTTTCTCCCCTACCGACGTGCACTCAAACACTTTTGACTTCATGCTTGCAGCTTACTTTAAAAACGCAGCACTGACATTCATCCGATCATCTCTTTCTACTCACTCTTTATTTCTTATCTGTACATATTTTTGGTTAAATAATTGTCCAGTTTTCGGGGGGGGGGGGGAAGAAGACGTCTGGAGTTGTGTGATCCAAAGAGGGCGAGCACCCTGTGTGAAGAGAAGCATCGTAGACTACGTGGAATCTGTGTCGTAGCATCAAAGTGCTTCTTCACGTCACCAACGTGAACCTGCGTTTGTTTTTAATGGAACTTTCTTATGAAATACATTTTTTTGACTGTAGAAGAACTGAACTCTCACCAGAGTTCTATACTTTAGGATCGATGTATAATTTTTACAGATGGTATTTGCAGAATAAACAGAATGTAACAAACTTCAGGAGTCTTTCTTCTTTCTGCCTGTTTTTAAACAAAAGGATGCTTTGGTCACGCGGGAGCCAACGAGAAGCTTCAACTCACGATTATTAATCGTTAATCTGCTCGTTGTTTTCTTCATGAACATGAAATAGCAGCAAACAGGGTTTTTACACTTGGTTGCACATCACTTCCTGTTATAACGGCACAAAACGCTCCCGGAGCATCAGAAGAGACTCTTTCGTAAAGCTCAAGGTGATGAACCAGATAAGAACATAAGACAGGAAATCCTCACAAATAAGATCGAAGGAACACTTTTGCGCTTCATCGATGAACAGAAATATCGAAATCTCTCGTTTAATCGTTCTATCAAATCACATTTTAATTCAAAGAAAATAAGACAAAAGTAGCATAAAGTATTTTATTTACTTTTCAGGCTTGAATATGTTTCATATGAAAGGCAAAACTTTAAATGAATACTTTTCCTCTCCATAGTTTAGGCACATTACAGAAAAGGCGATTGTAAAATGAGACCGTCTGACGAAACGAACATCTGAGAATAAAAATAAAAAGACATGACTGAGCTCTGCTCGGTTCTCTCCCTGTGTGGAGACACGAGGACGTCAGCCGACCGCACGAGGAAGAGAATAAGAAGCTCTGAACAGTTCAGTGGAGACCCGACGACTGCGGTTACCTTCCGTCCCTCCATATGGCTTTAGGTGCATCTCGCACTGACTTTACATCGTCAGTCGTCACATACGAGCAGAGGAAACAAACTAAAGTGAAGTCCTGTGTGTCTTTGTGGTGGCAGCACCTGACGTCTTACAGAAGCAAATGAAAAACCTTCTCACAGAGTTTCCTTTTTTAAACACGAGGAACACAAACAGACGGATAAAATCCAAAAACAAAATCATTTTAGGAGCTGAAGACAACGAACTTCTGTTGGAACTAAAACAGTCTCGAGACGTCAGACTCATAAATCATGAACCACGGACAAACACACGGCTGCAAAGTTAATGGCGTAGTTGTGTTACGATCTTAATTTCCATGATTACAGTAAACACGATTGTTCCTCTTTATGTGTCAAATTATCCAGAATCATTTGAGACGTAAAACCTCATGAAATAAACATGTTGCTAGAAGATAAACAATAGAAATAAAAAAAGGACAACACAGTTATCATTTAGAGGTTCCTGCTCCATCGCAGGATGAACGGGTCACACTGGCTTTTAAGAGGCGGGGACATGGAATGATGTGCAGCTATCTGGAATGTAAGAAATGAAAAAACAAAAAGCACGTGTGTGTGTGTGTGTGTGTGCGCGCAGATATTAACATGTGATGCTCTCTCCTGCTTCCAACACAAACAGGCGGTGATGTCTTCATGATGTGTTCAACAACAACAGAAGAAGAAAGAACTGTTCCTCCAGGTTTAGGAGAGTTTGACTGGATCAGAGAAGAGACGTGTTAAAATAGCCGTAGAGAGCCCTCAGGTTTATACACATATACATAAGTCACATTATGAATGTTTAAATAATTATAATAATTAAAAACATGGAGACAGGAGCTCTTTGAGAGCAGGTCAGCTGCTGCTGTTCTCTGGCCGACAGCACAGCAGGAATAAATACATATATTCATATATACGCTTAATAGAGGAGGGAGGGAACCAAACTGAGGGGGGGGGGGGGGGGAGAGAGAGAGAGCCGCCCTGAACACAACCAGTCCAGAGCTTCTTCCAGCTTTGTGTTGCTTCTGGGAATGTCTGTTTGTTTCTCTCTTTTCGTGTCCGAGTCCCTCCTTCTTGTCAGGCGAGCGGTGAGGAGGCAGGGGGGTGAGAGAGAGAGAAACAGAGAGAGAGGGAGAGAAAGAGAAAGAGAAAGAGAAATAGAGAGAGAGAGAGAAAAAGAGAAAGAGAAAGAGAGAGAGAATTTGGAGAACGGAGAGCTGCCTGAAATGTAGGCCAAAAGCGGTGGTGGGCGTTTCCATGGAAACAGTGTTCACAGCAGTCAGTGACATCATCAGTACAGGGGGGG